CACATTCTGTCCCAACAAAAATTTTCCAGTAATGGAGTAGTTCCCAGACAAAAGAAAACTTTACGTTAAGTCCATTTTTTTTCCAAAATTGTGTTAGTTCTACTTCCAAATTTTGAAATTTTGTATTAACAAGTACGCATATCTTTGATGCAGGTACGACTTTTCGCTCCTTGTTTTTGGTTTTGTAATTATCATTAACCAACGTGAGGAATTTTGCACCATTCAGAGGTGTTAGGAGTAAAATCCTATTGATTGGGAACAGATATATCATAAATGTCCATCACTACGAATAAACTCAATTAGTCAATTAGATATAAATTTGTACCATTTTTTTTAACTGTTACAAGGCTGTCCGAGAAAATGTGAAATCAGCTAAATCAGTTTTCGCTCTGAAGTGTCATCAGATTATGTTCATTCGTGACGTATATTCACAAATATTTTTAGCCCTGTCAGATCTTTTTTAAGACCAACAGGATTTACATAATCATACTTCCTTTTGTAGTTGTAGCAGTCAATTCTCAAGAGTGAATGGTTTGATAATTGAGTTTGTGTTTATGATCCATAACTAACTTCATTGTCCCTTAGGTCCCAAGGAATATCAGAGCTGACTTTGTTGTAGCAGGTTAGAAAGTTTCGGTCAGCGTTAAAATTAATGTACCGAATTTCGAAGTTCTCAAATGTAGCGTTAACTTAACTTAACTTTTTCGTTTTAGTTATTAACTGTGCCAGAAAAATGCAAAGAAATATGTTAAAACATGGAAACAATTGTTTCGTAGTAAACGCGCAAGGATCAATTTTGCAGCAATTTAATCCATATGATTTATATACGTTTAGAATTTGTCAATAGTTATAATTTTAACTCTAAACCTGTTACATTCCATATGCATTCCAATCTGCGCAAATTGTTTTCAAAATCGTTTGGAATTATCTAGGTTATTTGTTAAGGTCAATCGTGGCAGTAATGGGATTTCAAATGGTAAAACTCCGCTTCACCTGGGCGGAAGAGACTGAACTTATCATTGCGACTGTTATTTTCTTAAGCTCTTTACTGTGGCTTTTTTTAGTTCCACGTCACTCACTAACGCAACAGGTCCTCTCACCGAGGATGACCCAAAATTCCTAAACAACTAAAGAAGAATACGAAAACGAGGATTAAGGAGTGATGCTTTTTTTCCTTGCTTCCATCTGAAAGCGTCGAAACTTAATTACATTCCAAAGGAAAATGGTAGATATCCTCTGCGTCTTTTCTTCTCTCTTCTCTCTTGAGCACCCACAGTTTCGTGTTCCCCTTGGGTAGCGTTGACCTGGTACTCAAAAGAGCACAGAAAATCCCTCTGCCGTAATAACTAATATCGCAATTAGCGAAAGTCAATAAAAGGTTATAGTAAAACCACTTGACCTTGTGAAACATAAACTCTGGCGATACATTTGTTTGCCAAGTCATCTACACATGCTAGGCAGAATTTGATAAATATCACGAACTATATCCATCTGTTAACAATTACATGATTCAATTTGGAATTAACGAGTATAATCATATAAATATATGAAGAATTGAATTAGTTCAATCCTATATACATTTGTATGAAACAGACTTACGGAAGCGTTGTCATAGATTGTGGATATTGAAAAAAGATAAACTTACATGTGTTATTATCTATGTTTCTCCGTCTTCCGTCTTCATTTTTTAGCTTTTCCAGTATTGATTTTCCTTGCTATTTTTGGTTAGTATCATCCCGTGTTTACGTTTGCTCAAAGAGCTATTTTGTGGTTATGTTACAAAGCGATCAAACTTCTGCCTCCTTGTCAGTGAACAACAAAATTGACCTTCAAAGAGTTAAAGGTTTCTAAATGGGTGTTACAAAGCGATCAAACTTCCGTTCTCTTACTGAGTGAAGCAACTAATGTATTGATTTTGTGAGGATTACTGTTGAGTTAAAGGGACAACTGATTTATGATTAATTTTAGGTTTGTTTATTCTGGCTAGTTTTGCACCCAGCGTTGATCGATAATGATTGTAAGCTTCCAAAGATTGAAAGGTAGACAGGAAAAAACATGATTTTTTTTTTCTTAACTTGGCCTTTTGCCCCATCGTTGCAGTAAATTCTCACAAGCCAATATTGTGCTCTACTTCTAAAATAAGAGATAATTGTGTTAAAGAACTCAAACTTTTATTTTCATCACATTTCAATTAAATACAATTGTATGACTGTAAAGGATACTTACTTTTGCACATTTCATAAGTTTCGGTCGACCGTTAATCGGATTGAAATAATTTCAACTTCTCTAAATCCTAGGCTAAGAAAACTATGCAAATTATTCCAGCAACTTAATAGTGAAAAAAAAAACTTATTTACTCTCTTCGAAGGAATAATTTAGTTGAATCAGATGATGTAAAAGCAATGAAAATTAATATGTCACAAGAGTCGTAAATAGTATGTTGTCTTACCCACCGAAAGCGCATAATTTCGAATGCCATTAGCCTATGCTATCGGTTTGTTCCATGACAATCGCAATGTTGGAATTTTTCATAAGAAAACGGAGCAGTTTTGATGGTAAAACGAGCTGCTTATCAGAAGCATTTTGTGGTTTGTCATATAATTTATAAAAATATCCCTTCCTATCTGAAGGTGTACTTAGCATTGAACCATTTCTCTGTAGAAAGTACAACTTTTACCGTGGATTGCATCAAACCTTGCTCTAATTGTCGGTTTTTGTTTTGTTTGCTAAGAATGTCAAAACAAGGTTCTAAATGTCAGAAGTAAGCACCATGTAAGCTATTTCCGCTCATGGGAGCTTAGAAACAAATGGAAGTCGAACTCGTATTACATAGTCGACCTACTCTACAGAAAGTGAATCACCACCACTATTCGAATTAGGTCATTATTTTGAAGAAACCGAGTAACAATATGTTAAATGGTTTTGACGACTTGTAAAACAGAGGGTCGGATAAATTATACCTGTATAATTTTAGGCCGCCCAATGCTACAGTTTAATCATCGAGCATAGTGGCGGAATATGACTTCTTAAAAAATTCCCCCGATGTTTCAGTTTAACCAGAGATAAATTCTGTAGCCTGAGTAATGCCAAGATAGCATAACACATATGCTCTCTCGCGCTGTTCATTCCACTGGATTTTGTATCTTTGATCAGAGGCGTCCTCCGAAGACTCTGTTCAGCACTGAACTACCAGCTTCTGCAACTAGCAGGTTGAAGCGATGTCACGCTTGTCCTATTCTCGTGTAACGCGTCTCCTTTCTTTTTTCAGATTTTCTATTCATTCTGCTGTGGGGGAACACTGAAAAGTTTGATCAGTGGTAAGAAGGAGAACGAAAGGTTAAACGGGAGACAATGTACACGGATTGCAAATTGCGGATGAGGAAATAATTTTGGGAAACTTTTTTGCTAATACTGTGAGGTAACTTGCTGTCAAAGAGGCTGCCTTAACTACGAGCTTTCGGTTGAGTTTCAGGGCTGTTTGTTAAGAAAACTGATGAGTTCTCGGTATCATGTTGGATACATATTAGTTTCTGTTTCCTTTCTTTCTTACGTAATAAACACAGAACAGACTCGCAAACTTTGACCGTTGTTTATTTTTTTTTTACCTCGTTTCTTGGTTAGAGTTACAGACTGTTATGTTTTCGACTTTGCAAATTGCATATCTGTCGCAGTGTGGCGTACAGCCAGACATAGGTTAAGCTGTGGGGCGCAGGAGAGGCATGTCGGGTGGTCGGAAGCATGCAAGAAAAAGGCAGACAGCAACGTATACAAACTGCAACTGAACAATGTTTGATATACCATTTTGTTTATCGATCATGTTAATAAAGCTAACCCACTTTGAATTCCCTTTATTTCCTCCATCGTTTTCAAGTGACAGCTGACGAAGAAACATGTGATTATTCGTCTCGTCACGAGTATGTGGAAAGAAAAGATTCTCGAAACTTACTACATTTCTTTTTCTCTCCACTCATTTGACGCATTCAACTTTGCTGTCTCCTGGCTGCAAGAAAGACGCGTATGAACGCATATGAACCTCCTCAGGGCCAAACTCACCTTAGAGCTTCGGTGCGCGCTATCCGCCATAAAGGTGGAGACTCGATTCTTATGGTCGTTATAAGACGAAGAACATCTTGCTACGTGTTATGACTGAGTTCAAAAGTCACCATCTTTCCAATTATTTTTAAATCCAACCGAGTCAGAGGAAGCTTCAGATACGGTTATTTCCAAGAAAAAGTAGTCTCACTTTCCCTCAAAATACATGCTTGACATTCCCCCATTCCATATTTTTCATTACATGGCAAACATTTTCGAGAAAATGTCTTCGAAGTCGTCCTGATATCATTTGACAAGTTCTTAGTCAGTCTCTTTGACTTTATTAAAATGCGGGATTACCATTCAGAAATTTAATGGTAGACTACAATGTATGGCAAAAGTAATAGGCACACTCCCCTTTTTAAGTGCTCGACAATCCACCATTCAATATAATAAAAAAATCCAGTAATTCCTATCTAAAAAGTTATTTGAAAGTCACCCCCTCCACCCCAACAATGTTACCTGGTGGTGATCATTTGTTTAACACCAACACCGGGAAACATTGACGGGAGAGGGGGAGGAAGGGGAAAAATGAGAGAAAGAGAGAGAGGAGAAAATTTAGAAAGCGTGCCAAGCCTTTTCCTACTTATTGTAATTACCCAACATTACACCTTGTTATGCTAAGAAATTAAAAACGGAAATTGAAGAAACAACAATAAAACTAATGACAATAATAATTGAAATCATAGTACTAATAACGATAATGATAATTTTTATAACAAGGATGGAAGATACATTGAGAAAAATAGAGAAAGAGGCAGTAACACTCAACGTGCTAGTTAATATCCGCGCCGAGGGAGTTCGGCACAACAGCCACTCGAGCCAACATAATCTCATTGCATCCTCTAGTGACCACAGATCTAGACCTGTACGTATCTTTTGGCTGCCAAATTAACCTCTCTTTCCCATAATTATTTCCTCGGGTAGGTCGCCATTAGATTTCAAAGATCACAGCAAATTGAGTTCAAGTATTTCAAATTTCCTTGAGCGTGGCCTGTTCCCAGCCTTCCGCGAATAAACCGGAGTGTAAACGGCGCGATAGTAGCGGCTGAGCCAAAACGGGAGGGAGGGGCTTGGGTCGAGTCGTTCATTACGCGACCAGTTCCAAACTCCCTCTTTTTTCCACTACCGCGCTTCGTTTTACTAACTGAACTCCTGGAACAGGCTTCTGTGATCTTAGATAATGGTGATTACTGTCTTTTCCTTGAGTCTTAATTTGTACATGCATATGTTACTCTTGTCTCCGATAATCACGTACGTGAAGTAAAGCGAGTCCAAGAATAGAAATACTGTTCTATAAACGCCGAGGAGAAACGTACCAAACACATAACTCGACTCCAAGGCTCCCTCAACATCACCAATAGCTTGTGTTATCACGCGTGTTATTGCATTTGCCAGAATGATTGAAGCCGAATTGAAGAGAAGGAGATGAACGTAAGAACTGCGTTTAATGAAGTGCCCCGTTTCTGTGAGGTCATTGTTTAATATAAGGACGACTACGTTCAGCACGAAAATACCTGGGGAATAGAAAATATCCATGATCTGAATCGTAATCGAAAACGGTTAAAAATCCTGATATGAAAGGATGTCTTAATATAGAACCCCCCTCCCTCCCCTCCCTTCCTCGCGCTCTTGCGCGAAAAGGCAGACAACTTCTGTTTTTTTCTTATTTGCTGCTCAAAATCTTGTTTTTTAAGTCGTCGAGAAATTATCAATGCAGTCGTCCATGCATAATAGAGACAGCCTTCTTTGTCACCTTGACTACGTCACAAGGTATTGAAAGCCAACAAATGAGTAAATTTTGGTAATTTCTTTTCTATTCTCTGTAAGTCCTTTTCTTTTTTGTTGGGGTACAACCATTGACGTGGAATTCAAGTCAGAGGGGGTTTTTGTCCGATGGCTAATGAGAAAATTTATCTTCTGTACGTCGAAACTTCGACTGAAAACCGGAAAGATTTTTTCCGCGTTATTCAAATATCTTGAATGTTTATTTTTCCTTTGTTTTGTTAAGACATAACAAAGAAGGGCTTTTGTCCTTTAAACCAGAACTGTACGTGTACCGTTTTTGAATCTCTAAGACGAAAACGAAACTTCCTGTCATAGATATTAAAAATATATGGTAACCAGACATTATTTTTCCATTGTTTTGTTAAGACATAACAAAGAAGGGCTTTTGTCCTTTAAACCAGAACTGTACGTGTACCGTTTTTGAATCACTAAGACGAAAACGAAACTTCCTGTCATAGATATTAAAAATATATGGTAACCAGACAGTTACTTAAAAGTAAAGATTAGATAAATATCTGACGTAGTTACCTGTTTGAAGCAGAACTTGAGGTTGTTCACAGATGCAGGAGGTAACAAACCACAAGTCTTTATCGCGAGAAAGTCGATAAAAAGATCTCATAACAACAGCGCACCAATCACTTACGGCTAAAAGCAGCACAACGGCGGGCTTCAGGCTTTTACACTCGCGACGAAGGCAAAACGTGCTTGTTAATGACACGTTCAATATAAATACGGCTGCATCTGAGTCACATGTCATAAACATGCTGAATAGAAGCGAAAAAGATCTGAATCAAGGATATGCTTCCAAGAGAGAACGTCGCGCCACGTGCAAATTGCACCGTAAACACAGTGGTGAAGTCAGCGACCAGCTGTTTAATACTATCCCCGCTCTACCTTTTCGAGATGTGCTCCGGTTCTTTAGCCTCTTTTCGACGATCTACGGTCACTCAATTTAAATAAATACTGAGGTGTTCTATAACCAGGGCTGATATCGAACGATGAAATGAAATACCGCTTCTGTCTTTTCTTTGATTTCAAAGAGTTCCAGACTCTCTGAGGGCGGAAAGTAATTATGCATAATCGGAAAGCGCAGAAAGGTAAATATTCTACAGAACATTGTAGAATACTTTGAAGGAAGCTTTTGTCTCCATAGAATCTTCACTTTGAATATTGTTCATTACCGATAAATAAATGAAGTGGAAAGATTGTACTCTTTGACAACTTCTGGTGAGATTTGAGTGGTTTCCGAAATTTAAATATATTTTATAAATACCTCGATTTTACGAATTTTACAAGCGACAAAACTGGTGCAACTTTTTCAACCCTTTCATGAATTGAATTGTAAAGGTTTTTTTTTAAGATTATGGAAATTTAAGATTAATATGGAAATTAAAGTTCACAGAAATTCTGAATGCCAGGGACGTTTATTCTCATTACTATTGTTGACTCGGTTGACAAGACACATTTTTATATGAGGGCTACTGGTTGACAAGGAAAAAATCATTTTAATTTCATCCATCAATCAAAATGTCAGTTACAGTTTCATCTGCGCAGCAGGCGCCCTGTGAAGGGGTGGGTGGGGGAAGTGGTTGATCGACTTGGCGGTTTGAGACTGATAGAAACTTTCAATCAAGACCCTGTTCGGGAGAAAGAAAATTTGGACTCAATGTACTTAATGAAGAGGAGTCATCTATTTGTTACGAGCATCGGACTACAAAAAGATCTGAGTTAGTCGCGGAGATTCAAACCACAGACGCAAATGAGTTTATTCTCAGTCGTCTGGCCAATGGAAGTAATCAAAAAATATGTCCGTCAAGTCTTCTTTAAATATTTGTTCCTTTGCCTTTAGAACCTGTCATATTTCACTATCTATCCCGCTTGGGAAAGGAGAGCTTGGTAAAGTAAATGCGATATAGTTTGTGTATCTTCTATTCAAAAGATTACCCAACTGTCATTATGTCGAGCTTCACACTCGTTCGATATGAAATTTATTTTTTGGGGGCTCCACTGAGCGCCGAGATACGGCAGCTAGTAATCAATGTGTTGTTATCCTCTATTCAAAAGATTTATCCAGCTATCATGATATTTGTTCGACAACCATTTATTTGCGTATTCAAAACAATATTATTTTTTTGGGCTCCACTGAACGAGAAACAGGCAACCACTGATCCAGAACACATTCATCGAACGCAGATCGCAACTATCATATTGAAATGAGTAATTTGTTTTCTGTCTTCGGTGAAGCGAGGAAATGCATTTAAACGTTTGGGTTAAAATTTTTTTGGTAAAATCTAATGGGTGACAAAATATTTCGACAGTCTACTTGAATCGGTATTAAATTTCTTATGAAATGCTGTGAACATTTGAATATTGCGCTAAAAGAAGTCCGAAGATTTTCTTTCATTAGCTGATCTGATAAAAATGTTTCCACCTGAAAAGGGTTAAGCCAGTGGGCGTGAAGCAAATAAAAATGAACCGCCCTGATTGGTTGAATTTATAAAACAATTGTCACGATTTAAAAATAACTCGAAACTTACGTAATGCTTTTACTGTGGATTCGAGCGCGGGAGTTAATTCGAGAGAATCGAAAATCGTGTCGCGTTTCAGCGAAATTTGACCATAACACTGGCTTTTTGTTTCTAACGTGGATTGAAAATTGCAATGGTGAAGCGAAGTATTGGTGTTGGTTAAAAGGAAGGCTGGTTTCGCTTGTATGACTTCAGCGCCTGACCGGTATCATTGTTACAACACACAAATGCTCTATGTTGGAATTCACACAACATGCTTACGGCTTTCGGACACATGTTTTAATTTTGGGGCTCCTTGCAGTATGCACCGTATGCCACGGTAAAGAATCGCTGTTTGTAACTACCTCGATACAATCGTGATCATCAAGTGATTTCGCTCTTTACGTTAAGATCCAACTTTGTTTCATGTTTCCAATCGTTTGTTTTTATTTTTACTCAGAGGCCAACGATCTCCAGTCGAAATCGTGCACGGGAGAGCAATCGACCGCAAAAAGGAACTCGTTTAATTTCCGCAAGTTTGGAAACGTGACGGGTTTAGAGGACTGTGTGGATATATGTTGTAGAGATGATGCGTGCGAACTGGCGATACTTTCGCGCGGTTTTCATTGTTATGGTGTTTCATGCGACAAGCCGAAACTTTGCCACAAGATACTGGACAAATTGTTAATGGAAGATGAAAGACAGCTGCAGCGAAACCCAAGAAATGCAGGTGAAATATTTGATAAAATTGACCAGCTTTAGAAAACAAAAATTAAAACAACAAACTCGTATATCATTTTGATTTCTGATTAAAACTTTCTTGCGTGATTTCTTCCGGGCAACCACGTTTACGGTAACAAGACAATATCTTTTCTCTCTCTCAACAGTATCAAAATATTCAAGCCCTAATTTACTTATTTTCAAAAATAAGTATCATGTATCAAATCGTTTTGCAAAAGAGAGTACAATAATAATTTTCTTAGTCCTGCTTAAAACTTCGACTTTGTACTTCATACCCAGATCATGCAACATAACTTATAGTTCTGCTTTGTCGTTAGGAAAGTGTGAAGGAAAGTTTGATTTATGTGTGACCTAAGTTAACTTCATAATTTTAAGTCCGATGTATCAACTTGTTCCTCTTCGTCACCTTAAAAATCCTAAAATTACCTTCCAAGTTTGTGAAGCAAAATTAGTTATGTTGTGATATAACGTTCTGAGAGGAAAAGGCGTATATGATCTTATCCAAGAGGTGTTCCCTCTTCAAATCACGTTTTTTTGTTGGTTCTCGTCATAGCTATAATGTTTTCCAACGGGTTCACGGTTTTCCGTCCTCCACAAAACTCCATATGCCAATTTGAGGTGATTTTAGTGGAAGAAAAACCAACTCGTGTCTTGAAGCGAAGCGCTAACTGTCATTTGATCTTTTTCATTGACGTTCCAGAGGGTAGACGGAGAAAAACTGATTAAGTTTCCTCATCGTCACAATCAAACATTTTTCGGTTGTTGATTCATTTCAATAAACGTAAAGACTTCTTTAAAATGAGTGCATGCAGTGCTTCCCCAGTACGCTGGGAAGGTTTAAGTGATCGTTTGATTCAATTCAGTCCTTCCCAAACTGCTCCACGTACGTCAACCACAGCAATCACAGCCTTATCATGATTAGTCTATACGATTGCCAGTAGAGTCAGAAACGACAAAAAGTACACATTTAGCCTGCAGCACATCAAATTAATCAAGCAGATAAACATTTCCTGGAACAAAAGAAAAAAATTGGCGAAGAGTCTCAGATTTCGAGTGCCATCTTTTGCAAGACATTTCAAGTCTCTTAAATATTTAAGTCACTTGACGTTTTCGACATTCGAAGGCTTTGTTGATCATTTTCTGGATGCGTTAGGTTTCTATTTTTCCTCTCATATTTGAAGCCTTGTAATATTTGGTCGAATTTCAAGGTTGTTAACGACGGTTAGATGGGGTTACTTTTATTTCATCAGTTGGCATAGAAAGACTTACTTTAGGAAGAATAAACGATTGCAGATTTTAACCTCAGACGGACGGCAATGTACGCGCTTTTTGAGGGGGCTTGTACTTTGCTTTGCGAAGAAAAACACGCCAGAGTGCAAATTATTCAAGTGAAAGTGTTATTGAAATGCTAAATTGCGTGAAATATTTTGAAAGGATTTTATCGCTCGGACAGGTGGCACTATACAAAATCTCTCAAACACACGTCTCAAGGATCTCCAGGACTAACGAAGCGATTCGAGGTGATCCTAAAACAGACGAGTGTGTCAAATATTTTGATGTATGCGTTAAAATTCTTGTAGTTGAAAGACATTTTGATAAAATGCAACCTGTCTAATACCGAAATTTTGTCCTCGGGTAGGACCTGAATTCTCTTGTAAATCGCACATAAATCAAAAGACTGAACCTACGCTAGACGTAAAGAGTGACTGAATAAACTTAATACGCCAGGCTTTTTTTGAAGTCTACCGATAAGTACTTTATTCACTTTGGTATCTAAGCATCGTCAGCGCATCGCCTAGTTTGAGATTTAAATTCAACTGCTTACCAATCCCAAACATGTTTACCCCATTTCTCTCCTTTTGTTTCGATAGGATACCATAAAATTGTAAAAAGTAACTATTATCACCAGTACGCTTCGACATTGGTGTGAAATTATTAATTGACATCGGTTCAGGCGGTGCATCGTGATCGTCTACAAATGAAAAATCCCACCTCTGCTCTCCTGACACCTAGAGAATATGAGCACTCTTACAGTCTTAAAAATCATAAAGTGCCTTTTAGTGAAGAAACCTCCTTTCATTTTCTCTGTCACCGATAAGTAAAGCACTGCAAGATAACCGTCGACAGCTGCTAGCTACCAGTTTAATCACATAAAATAGCAGGGTTACCTGGTTAAGCTTAACACGCATGCATTTATTGACGTATGATTTTATTCCTAAATGGAATCCAAACAACAATTTTATTTCCTATAAACCATAGTCTTTTTCGTGTCACAAACGTATTATTTTCTTACCCGTTTTGATTTTATTATTGGATATTAGCACTACGACTCAATGAAATTCTATTTGAATTTTACTTATAGGAACAACAGACTTTATCAGGCACACGTCACAAGTCACCAACCCGAGGTGTCCAAAACGCTTTGTACCCAGCTTTCATGTCCTTCTCCTCCCTGCCAGAACAACTCGCGAGTTTTACAAATTTTCTCAGCAGTCGAAGGATGAAGGCCAATGCAATACGCAGTGCTGTAGATCACGTGAATGCTTGCTCTCTTTCATCGAAGATGAAGAGTGTTATGGCGTTACTGGTGTACCAGCTGATAGCAACAGCACAAATAGTACACGAGAACCTACGCTTGGTTTAGAAATCGCTATTATTGATCGAAATAAAGGTTAGTCAATATGAGTTCCGTGCAATATCGTTGTAAACCGTAGAGCGGTTAAAGGCAAAGCTCTTTTTCGATATTGAATATATATTTATATCGCACTACGAAAGCGATGAAGCAAACAGAAGTAGCCCCAGAAAGAAAATACCAGATGTAATCGTCCATAAAGCAAAGACACTTTTTCTGTGTTTATATGCTTTAATTCTGCTTCGAGGGTTTGTATTGTAGTGGAAAAGCTGGTGAAATTCCCAGCCATTTATACAAACATACAAGATAGAACTCAGAAAAGCATCAATCTGTTCTTTAATCGATTTTCACAGCATATTGTTGAGCATTATAATTACATCGCCGCTTTTTTAGCAGACCCTCCATAGACTTTCTGACAAATAACGTCGAAGGTAGAGAATATTTGAACCGTATTCTAACTGCTTGGTACCACGGAAAGGTAAAATTCTTTACCATTTGCGTATAAATTTGGATTTACTGATGAACAATTTATTTCTCTCAGAGATTTCTAGAAGCTTGGATGATGGAGATGAAGATCCAGATGATATAGGTTCCGACGACAGCGATATAAAGTCGTCAGATACAAAACTGCCTAGGCTTCGGCCAACTGAAGTCAACAGCAACCTACAGACGTCACAGGTTGGCAAAATATTTTCAACTACAAAAAAAACAATCGCAAAAGCCAAGGAGAGCGTATTCTCAAAGAGGATACCGACTATGGGACCTACAAAACATGAGGCACAGCCCACTGCTATGGGGCATGAACAAAATCTATCAAATCAGTCAAGAACTAAGCATCCCAAATTTCCTACTACTAAGGATATTAAGACAAAAGGTGTACCATTTCATTTCAAAGGCGTTGCAAGTAGAAGGACTCCTTCAGGGACTCCTTCAGTTTCCAAAAACAGAGCATTCAAAATATATTCCAACAACAAAAGTTTGACGAAACACTTAAGCTCAACACTCACGCAAAGGGTGAGCCCCTCTAAAGGTGGAAAAGTTACAAAAGTAAAGCCAACAGTAAAAGTTTGGAAGGCTGCTGAAACCAGACGAGGAACTCAAAGTATAGAAACTGGTGGAAACCCTAAAGGAAAGCATTATGTCAAACATCTGAAGCTAATTACAAGGACAACTACTGCGATGAAACCCAGCAGTAAAAGTTCAAAGGTATCACGAATAAGCGATAGAGGTTTTGAAATTGGTACGAAAAGGCTCGATACTCATCACAAGGGGTCCACTGCACGTCTAGTGGGGGGAACGGACGAAGGAAACTCTCGTGTTGATGAAGGTTCAGTGAGTGGATTTGATGGTATCAGTGGGGATCACAGATATTCTGGAGAAGACCGTGAATTCAGCGGACATAATGCTTTCAGCGGAGTAAGTGGATTTGACGATATCAGTGGAGATCAGGGATATTTCGATAAAGAACATGGATTCAGTGTACATGATGATTTCAGTGGAGTAGGCGAAGACGATGTGAGTGGGAACCATGAATATTTGAGTAGTAGTGGTGGCGATTCGAGCAAGGATAGCAGTGATTTAATGGAAAATGCTAAGGTGCTAAGAGACGATGGTTCGGTTGAACATCATTTGAGTGATGCCGACCTGAGTGGCAGTGATATTGGAGTGGGTGGATATGCAGAAAATTCAGATGAAAGTGGAAAAAACGGTAGAAAAAGTGAAGTAGGTTCCACGGAAGAAGGGGATGGGCCATATAAGATAAATCATGATGTAACAAAGCCAAAATTGTATCAGGGAGAAGACAAAAACGGGAACATGGCGAGAAAAAAGATTGATCTCATTAAAGATTTGGAAGAACTTGGATCAGATGGAGATAAGAGCAGCGTGCATAGTAAGCAAACCTCGAAGAAAGTTGTAAAAGTTCCTCGTATCATAGTGTCTGGTATAAAGAAGGACCCGAACACCAAAAAAGGAAAAGATAAAAGAATGAAATCTAGGAAGGTTCACTTTGATTTAAAACAGTCTCGTAAAATAAAGAACCAATCAAGTTCCAAAGTATCACGTAAATTGCGACCGGAAAGCCATGATGTTAAAGCAAGTAATGTCAGAGCTAAGTTAAATCCCAAGAAAAGGAAAAATTATGGTAGGACAGAACTGTTAACCAACAAGACGGTAAGGAAGGAAAGAATTCAAGATGGGCATAAGCGTTCGAAGATGAAATCAGTCAATAGCACAGTGAAACACACCAAGCCCAGTGACCGAAATTCGTCTGGGCGACTCATGAAAACAAAAGACAACGTTACAGACATAGCTACTAAGCCGTTACTCTTTCATGGAGCACGGAATGAGGGTAATAAGCATAATGTAATCATCAAAAGGAACAAGGTTAACAGAAATGCAGCAAACTCTACCGCGTCACAGATTATTCCTAAAGCAATATCTACGGGAAAAGTTCGCAAGGGTAAATCAATTAGCCGCCGTAGCAAAGGAAAAGCTAAGGTCATTCGAACAGGAGACAATGCGACTTCACATAGACCATCAACGAAGGGCTTGACTGTGAATTATCAAGCAAATCAGGTAAAACTTAATGGCAAAGCCAGTCTGGAAAAATCGATGGGAAAGGGTTATCAAGCAATCAATCAAAAGAAACGGAAATCTCTAGAGTTTGTGGGATTCCAGGGAGGCCACCGCTTACAAAGCAAAGTTAAACCCTTGACAGAAAACAATGAGAAGCCTACAACATTGGGAAACAAAAAAGTGGGTCGCACGAAAACGAAAAGTAGGTTGTCAAATGTCAACTACACAATTAAGGACACTGGTGATCTTATGCAATATGCCCATCGGAAAGTGTCCGTTAGGCATAAAACAACGCTTAAAGTTATAGCCGGGCGTAACGGCTCCAATGTTGAAGGTAAAACGGCACAGAAAGTCAGTTCATCGATAAAAGTAATGGCTCATAAGAAAGTTCATAAAAAGTACGGGACCAGTCCAAAGGACTCACTGCAAAACAACGTTCCGCGTTTTCATCGAAAACCTCATGTCGCACATAAGAAGCAAAATAGTATGCATGGACGGAGGGCGCCGATATTTCATCTACCGACCACGACCTCAGAGAAAGGAAACCGTATAAAGGACTCAAAAGGCAGTATTCATCAAGACCTTATGTTGTCCTCTACTGAAGGGAGCTTATCTTCTAAAGAAAACCGTTCATTTGTCTCCCACATTACATTTTCGCCCCATCAATTCATAAATACTTTAAAAACAAATACTTCCCACGTAAATATATCGGCAAAGCAACGCAGCAACAGCAACGCCTCTGACGCCAAGGCTACGTTCGTGGGTCATTTTGTGAACGATAGTGGTGCTAGTAATGGTATCGATTTTTCAGTTAAATCCAGTGAAAAGCACCATAAACTTAGCAGTAAGCACCGTTTAACTGTTGATTTGGACGACTTAGGAGACGCTGATTTTGATATAATGATGTCAAATGATATTCCTCACAAGGACTTACCCAAGAAGTCGAAGGGAAAAGATAAAAAACATGCAAGTAAAGGCAACAAAAATTATGATAATAGTAGAACAGAGAAAAAGAGGAAACACAACTCCCATGGTAACGATGAAGATGATGACGCTAAAGGATCGTTCTACAAACAGAAAGACCAAAGTGAGGCAACGAGCAAAGGCAAACTCCATCGACACCATCATCATTCCCAAAAGGAAAAGGATAAAGATGCCAACGAGGAAGATGAAGAGGGAACCTCCAGAGAAGAAGATGGTCGCCGAAATGCTGAGCGCAAATCGCGTCATCACCATAGGCATCATGATAATGCCAATACTGTGAAACAGAAAGACTACGAAGACGAGAATCACCATCATAGTGCACATAAGGGACATCTGCATCATAAAAAGAAGGAAAACAACGAAGAAGATGGTGAGGATAACAGGGAGGCTAGGAAGCATATAAAACACCACCATGTTGAACGAGACGAAAGTGATCGTTCAAGTGATGATCAAAAGATGAAACATCGACGCCACCATAAGCATAAGGATCACGACCATATACCCAAAATAAAATATGATGACAATCATTGGCAGGGAAAAGTTATTCCTGGACGAGTAAAAATAACGTATAGCAAAGACCATGCCAAGAAGCGACATTATCACCATCACAAGCATAAAATTCAAAACGATGATGACCGCTCTGAAACACGAGAAAATCACCATAACCGGAAAAATTCCTTTAAGGCGCACGAAATGGACAGCGATAGCGACGAGGATACTAAAAACAGAAAACTGCAAAAACATTTTAAGGAAAAATCTAATGACAATCATGAGGGTGATGACGATGACGAAAATGATGAAAAGCAAACAAGTCACAGAGGGAACACTCACAAGAAAAAAGAGGAAAGGGTGGAAGAGAAAACAGACGTAAATTATGAAGTGGTTAAAAAAGGTCGGCATAGGGCATCTCACGATGAAGATAATGGCGATGATTCCGATGAATCTTCTGAAAACAAGCAAGAAGGAAAAGAGGATGACAGTGATGAGGTAGAAGACAACGACAAAGTTAATGAGGAAGACAAAGATAATGCACATGACCATAGCGACGGTAGTGAAAGAAAGAAAAATAATCGAGTAGTTTTAGGAGACGATTCCGAAGACGAGGACGAAGACGAAGCTAATCAAACAGAGGAAAGTCATGATGCAGACGGACACTGGAATAAGCACAACTACCATGAACAAGAACATGCTAGCAACGAGGAAGAGTATCATAAAAATAGAAATCGTAAGGAATATCACAAACCTCATTTTTACCATAAGCATTGGGAATCTAGACACAAGCACCATGAATCTCATTTTGAATCTAAGGCAAGTGACGATGATAATAGGGATCATTTTGGCGTTGAGGCGGAGAATAACTTGAAACATGATAGACGAAATTTCAGAAAATCCAAGATTTATCACAGAGAGAGGAAGAAGGAATGGAGGGAATATCATGAAGCAGAAGGTGAAAATGAAGAAACTAATAATGATAACCATGAAAGACAATTTCAAAGGAGTCGTAAACAGTACCATTATCATCATAAACGCCCGGAATGGAAAAATGACAAGACGACAGAAGAGTATAGGGAACATAACGAGCAAAAGGAAGCATATGAACGGGATCCGTTAAGGAATAACGAAGACGATAATGGAAGAAACCTGGAACATATCGATGAACATATCCCTGATTATCAAAAAGAGCGTGAGGGAGTAGAAGAGATTCCCTCTCGTGATAGAATTGAGGAACGCAGACCAAATGATGAATCTGGAGAAGGCAAACACAAAAAACATCATCACGAAAAGTTTCACCACTTTCCTGAAGACGATGGGGTTGAGTGGAAAAATAAAGAAGATTTTGAAGGGAATAAGTATGAAAATGGAGATGTTCCATACAGACGTGAACAAGCGCACAACCACCGGCTGATGGATGAAGATGAGAAACCGTACGAGGATAACAGAGACCATGAGGTGCACTATGATCATGGTTCCAAACACAAGCCGAGGCACTGGAAGAAGTGGCACCGGAAGAACCACCATCACTTCTATGAGAAAGACCAACCCGCTTTTGAGGGTACTGGGGGCCCGTTTGATTCTTCGGCATCGATGCGCGTTTACAATGCTGATAATGATGATGACGATCAATATTATGGTGGTGAAGGTAATCAGGAATACCAGGGACGTAATCATTATAAGCACAAACATCGTAAGCATAGGCAAAGCTATGAATTTTGGGGTAATGGAAATCAAAACCCCTACTATTATGATTACAACTATCACAATTCTAGAGCTCCATATGGATACTATAAGCCAGGGTCTAAATTTCGTTCATATTCTGAATGGCGTAGAGAGCACTACGGTGACTATGATAGATGGAGACCGAAAGCTTCTAGATGGTACCCGCATAACGAGCACTGGAATAGAAAATCGTCTTGGCCAGCATCTCAAGATAACAAACCTGTAGACTTCCAATGGAATAAATTTTACAACAACAATGGCATGCCACCGATACCTACCCCTTATCCTGAAGATCCATCAAACCGTTGGCGACCAACAAATCCACAGTGGAAGCCACCCGATCAGACGCAAAACAGCTTTGGGAAAAATAACTGGTCCTCAGATCAATATCCGAGTCAAGGACACGCAGGGGGCGAGGATCAAAACCAAAAACAATACAATGACTGGAGTAAAAATGGGCCCCCTCTTCACTTAAAACAGGGTGGTTACGGACCACAGAGAAACCCATTCGCACCTGGGTTGCAGCCGTGGAGAAATATCAATGCAACCAAGCAGGGTGGTGGACAACAATCAACAGGAGTTCAATCACAATATATTCCTCCTGCTCAACAAAACTCCAATAAAGTTTTTAATCAGACTAAGTTTCACCCTACAAATCGCCCGAAATACCCAGCTGGTTCTTCATCGCAAGTTTCAGGCCCAACGAATATCAACCAGATCAAAAAAATTATGGATAAGTTGAACACTCCTCCATCAACTTCCGGCGTTCGACCAGGCAAAGTTGCTCCCACTGTCAAACAAGACATATTGCACAATGCGACGACCAACAAAGATGGAGTTCCCAAGACAAACTTGACCACCACAGATCAATTGAAAGATAAAAACCGCCTGAATGGATTTTTCAACGAAGAAAAAAATGGAAAGAAAAAGTCAGAGATCTCACGGCCTGCGAATAGAAGCGAGGATCGACAAGCTGAAAAAATTACAAATTCTCAAGGTAGAGCATTGTATTATTTTTCATCTACTTAAATCCAGAGCCCCAATGTAGAAGACTGCTTGTGTCAATACACCATCAATTACTTTCCGTTCTTTCCCATTTATGTTCCTATTCGACGAAGTATAATGATTATCTCTCTGTGGTAGAGTACTTCCTGACCAAAGGAAGCTTTATACCTTAAATATTTGATACTTTCCAGATACTCTAAAATTCTAAGTTCTGGTCCCTAAAGCTATACCCGTCCCCCATTTTTACAGGAAACACCTCGCAGCATGCCAATCTAACGTCGCAAACAACCAATACCCCACCCAAACCTCCTTCCAACCAAGTCACAAATAAAACGACAGGAGATCATACCAATCCACAACAGGCAGCTGGAAATCGAACCAACAAGCCTACAGCGCCCACACTAAAGAGCTCCACAACGACTGCCAAGCCAACCACTCAGACAACCACTGAACACACTCCAGCAGCAGCACCAAACTTTGGAGACGTCTCTCAATCCGATGATTCTTCAGGTAGATGTTATGACTCTGTTATGCTACCTGAGTCAGGATCCTCCACACACCCTTTGATTCATGAACCTGTTACACATAGGTGGAAGATGAGATTAGAATGAAGAAAGCAAACTAGGTCTCACTAGCCCCTACGGTTGATTTTATTGTTTCAGTTTATACGAGTTATATGCCTTTAACAGGGCCACCAATGGTGGAATAATGAAACTAAAGTAATCTTGTGTCAGGAGACAGTTCTGAGAATAGCATTGGTTGTTTTCTTGTTAGGAAAAAAGCTATATAGGAAGTATACGCATTTTTTTATTTTGGAAACCCAAGAAAGTTCGTGTAAAGAGTGGATTGTTTGAGTTCAGAACTTACCTGGTTTAAATTAATATGTTTTTCTAGTTTTTTCACGTTCGTGGACAAAGAAAGATTTAGACTCCCCCTAGCGATTCGAACTTCATACCTCCGAAATCCGCGCTTTGACGCTCTACCACTGAGCTACAGAGATCTCTGTGGAGAGCCGTGTCATAATTAGGCTCATATGGGGCGCACTTTCTATGTACTGCTGGGATCTTAAAACGTTCGAGCTCGAAATTTACTCTCTTCTATATATAGCTAACCCGATATTTTTTCAAACAGAAACAGGAAAGAAACATCGGAAACACCGGGCTCCTATTTGCATGGCGGGTAAGACAACAGACGACGTCACTTTACTGCGAGGGAAAAAGGCGGGAAACTTTACCAACATTGGCGACGTGGGCGACTTCGAGATGTGTATCAAGAGGTGCTGTCAGACGAAGACATGCGACCTGGCTTTTAAGTCTGCAGAGACTTGCTTTCTCGTAAACTGCTTTGATAAAGATTCGTGCAAGACCACCGAGTCCCTGGATGATATATTCAGTCCTCGGATGTGTTTTGTGAAAAGGCACTTAAGTGACGAAGAAAAAGGTAACCAATTGTCATCGAAATCTTTTATGAAATACTTTTTGGGGATGCAAAGTTTTTAGAGTTAAAGTAAAGGTCGCATACGACCACAGATCCTAAGCATTAAATCATTTCTGTTTAAGACGATCAAGATCAAGATGGGAACGATGAATGGGACGACAAAGTCTCTCCTTCAGGTAATTTTATTACGCAGCAGACCTCTAAATGATTGTTACTCAAGAAAAGGTTTTTTTGTCTTTTCACGAACGTGGGACAAAGAAAAAAAATTTACTTATCGAACCTTAGACCTTTCACCGTCAATGTATTGAATTCTGTTGAAGCCTTATTATTTTTCAGACCTTATTTTAATCACTACTTCCGCATTTGCTATTGTTGCAGTAACGTGTCGTCTATTTCAAACCTTAAACCACAATTAATATAAATTATTTTAATGTATTGTTACTTGTGTAACTGGAAACGAGTGGAATTGTTATGTTGTATGACAAGACGCTTGTTGAATGCTTCTGCACCATTTCGCTTCTCGATGCTCACTGAAAGCTTTTTTTTCTCATTCGGTCACAATATCATCGCCACAACTTAAGTAATCACATAAAAAGGACGTTTTCCTCTGTCTTTATTTTAGGAATTCGTGAAGTCTGTGATATGGAAAAGGCTCTTGGAATATTGTGGAAGAAAACGATTGCTGGGCGTTTCTCTGCCCATCCATGCCCACGCGGCGCAAAAGGTATTTCTGAATAGAAAAACTGATGCACATGATCTGTCTTACCATTTTTGTTGTAAGTTAGAGGACCCTTACTAGGTTACGCTATTAACTGATTGGCACGAACATAGAAACATCGCAATATTATTTCAAACTACAGATATCTGTATTTCGTGTAATGATCGTTTCGTTGATCTTTTTTAAACCTTTTAGGTTTTGTAAGACGGCGTTGCGAAGCTGATTCAAGATGGATGCCGCCTGACTTCAGTGATTGTGTGTCCAATGGCTATCAAGATCTCTATGACAAGGTAAAACAATATTCTGTGGCGCATGTTGGGATACTCTGACCACAGTGAATCCATTCCCAACACTTTTGAATTCTCAAAGCGAAATAAAGAAGTTCGATTTTATAGGTGGACCTGCAGAGGACGTGTTGGTATAATGATAAGTGCGGTGAAATACGGAGTTAAAGGTCTGGGTATGTCTTCTAGCTCTTCCTTTACACCGAGGATATGGAGAAGCCGCTTATGCCATATTTAAAACAGATCTCTTTTCCTCATATCGAAACGGACTACTAAGCTTTTATAAAGGGGCTGGTTTATAAAAGAAAACTGTGATGCTGCGCATGCGTCGGTGGGAGTGTTACAAGATAATTCAGTAGGTTAAATCAACTGAGTTAATAACATGAATTTTCCACCATGGCCAATTTACATCATCAGTTCAGTTGATAAAACCAAATGATAGGGTAATTTAGTGTTATCAACCGAGTTGATAACGTAAATTGGCCACCGTAAAGAGTCTTGCCTTTAAACTCTTTACGATGGCCAATTGGTGTTATCAACTCAGTTGAAAACACTAAATTACCCTGTTATATTCTCCCACCGACGCAGCACCACAGTTTCTTTAGAGGCTTTCCCTACTAAAACCAACTGATAACTCAGCTTTAAATCTGGTGTGCTCATATCGACGTTAAGTTTTCAATAAACCTAGTGTTTAAAACTGATTATTCCAACCACTCCGCATTTAAACCTTTCGAAATTTTTGCAGTCTAGAAAGCTTGCCGCTGGAGCTGACCCCAGCCCACTCATACGGGAACTGTCACAGCTGACAACCCAGAACATCGACAATTCCTTGATATTCGGAGGAGACCTAAACCGAGCTACAGATATTATGGCCGCTATAGTACAGCATAACGGACAAACTGAATTCTTAGAGATGACCAAAGAGGATGTAGAGGTATATACATTATTCGCCAACTTTGTTTGCGTTTATTTTGTTAGCATAGTGTGAAACACATTTCGATAGCGAGCCATTAAATCAAAACTTAATTGATCCCAATGGCCGATTAAAACAATGGAATATATCATAAGCAGCCAATGAGAATTCCACGAAACAAACAAGTGCCTGAGGCGCGGGAAGACGCGAGAGAATAAGTGGCGATTGGTTTAAATTTTGTACCTGATGTGGTTGAGAAAGTGATATGATACGAGATGTAGAAACCGAGCTTGATAAATAACAGTGAAATAAAGCAAACCCATTCAATGCCTGGTTGTTAAAACTATGGGGAGAAGTTATGTCAATTATATCACGTTAGGAGTGCAAAGTATGCTAAGAATCTCTTTTTTTAACTACTCTTTGATAAAATGCGTTTTCGCCAAGTTCTTTGGAGGAAAGAGTGAGGAAGAGTCTGAACTTCAAAGATACAAATCTTTTTAGAGTTATCCATTGGTTCCTTTATTTAATATTCTTATTTAGATTTCACAGATTAAGAAATGCAATTAAAAGCTGTTTTTTTCATAATAATTGACAATAATTTATCAACATTTCTGATCAGAATTTTGTAAGAGCCAGCAGTAATCTCCTGGATATGACAAATCAGCAGGAATGGTTCAATATCCAAAAGGTAATAAACGAATGTGTCATGGACAAGTCATTATTTATCTTCGGGGGGGGGGGGATTAACTTCAAGTACCTAGTTATCTCTTATCATGTGGAGATGTTTTTGTATTCTTTTAGCCAAAATTTTTGGCAATTTTTTAGATATTTGCCTACCTAGTGAATCATGAACTGATATTTGCATTGTTATAGAATAAACCGGGGTCAGCGGATGTTCTGCGAGCCATGGAAATGTTTGCACTTCAAGCGGCACGACGACTTTCCCGAGAAGATATGGCGGAACCTACCATCACTAACAATATTGGTGAGTCAGGTTAACTTAAAGAGGCCCAGATCACTTCTCAGAATTTCCCTTTTTCTCGGTTTATCACGAAGCAAAGAACCACAATCCCTCCGCGTGATGGACCGTTAACAGGAATGGTATATCCACCACTCAAAGATTTCCCGGCTGAGGATTATTCCTGTCTGTCTATCAGTCTGGCTGTAAATTTATATAATTTGATTTTATAAAGAAGTTTGACGAAGAGCTAACGCTGACCAAGTCATCTTTAGAAATTCTTTTCCGTAGCCAATCAATTACATTTACAAAGCACCGACTATTAAATTTCAGAAGTTCAAGAGTAACGGGTACGAATGCGGTAAAAGCGAACTTTCACTTTACCCATAATCCTCTACTTCTAGCTTTGCCCACATACCTTAGATATGAATAGGACAAATAAAAAAAATTGAGAGCCTGACTCTAAATCATGAAAGAAAGATTAAACGTTCATTTATCTACAAATCCATGATGACCAACATTTTCTATAACATACCGTACAGTACACGCGAATGACATCTGTGTATGGATGCCAACTTGATAAAGCAGTTCGTCCGTCCTTACTTACAGTACACCTGTCCGTTTGTTTATCTCCTGTTAGAAATCTGACTTCTACCTCTTTACTTTTCTACCATTTTCAGTTAATGAATTGTTTTATTTTTTTAATAGTTATTAAGATGGACAGAAAGTCTGCAGGGGATGATGGTCTGACTTTCCCAGACTTTGCTAATCCAAGAGTCAATCGCTGGGATGCGAGACATGACGTCATCGCCCTTCCGTCCTCTGTGTTTGCCCAAAGTAAGTCCAGGTTTAAGGAATGGAATACATCACTTCCCTTTAAGCCTATTTTCTATGGTACCATTAATAAATAGTTTCCATGATGCCATGCATCTGTTAAGTAATAGATCACAGATGACGTCAAAATTTGTTAAGAGCAAACATATGACACACGAGGTGCAGCCGTGTCTGTCACTGTTGTTATCACTGTACTTTGTAACATGGAATCTATTTGTTTGCTATGATAAAAAAGCCAAATGTTACTAATGACGTCATCGATGCGTCTGTCACCCTATAGAGTACAAGTTAGAACCAATCAAAATGCGTGTGTGATTCATCTTAAAATTTAACTCTTTAACCCCCGAGAGGGACTGGCATCTAATTTATCCTTACCATATCACCCCTGAATCAAACATTAAGGTCAGAAAAATAAGGGGAACTTTTCACCAGCAAAAGAAGCTCTTGATTGTTAAAAAAATCTCCTTGTCAGCACCTTAGGAAACGTATAGAAAACATTATGGAGAATATACATATTGATGTCAGGGTGCAAAAGGTTACAACTGAATAGAAAATATTTACGTTCATGTTTCAGCTACAAAAGATGTGAGTGTTGCTACAATCAGTTTTAAAAGTTTGCCCTACTTGCTTCCCGATTCCAACGTCAGGTGAGACTTTACATTAAATTGATCAACATGAACTTCATGACTTTCAACACAACTCACGAGCAATGTTAGTTTCGAGCTAACAAGTTACTTATGTCTTCCCACAGTACTGGTCTTGGTCCAAATTCCAAAGTGATGTCAACGGTACTGCACCCCCACCCCCAAGGGAAGATTACCCCACCCGTTACTATAGTACTTAGTCACATCAAGGTGAGATGGGCAGGTTCATACAATTTTATCCCTTTTAACCCCCAAGATATCTTAAGTAATTCTCGTCACTGTCTGCCATACAACTCGTATGATGTTAGTTTGGAGAATTTGTAATTGGATCAACTAGTAATCCCCTTATTCATATTTTTCCTCTTTCTCATTGCATGTCTGCTTGGCACTGTATTTATATTGTAAAGACAAATTCCTTCTTGGTCACTTATAATAGTTGAAGGTCTAAAAAAGTTAGGAAATTGAAATGCCATCCTTTTATTTTTAAACCTGTAGATGTGCATGAACTCAAGAAGTAAAATCTATAAACCATTTCTTTTCTCGTTTTTTTTGACAGCGAAAGCGTGGAAATCCTAAATGTGTATTTTGGGATTACGCACTGAGGTATGTTTATGACAAACGTTCATTTCGTTGGCACCTATGTTTCTGTAAACGTTGAAAGCCTTTGTTATGCACGCTGAGAAGCCCGTGCCACTGAGGCGGGGCTCATCTAAGTTAGATTGACAGGAGGCGAAGAGGAGTTTTTTCTGTTTGTCTTTGAAAGTGGCTGGGATTCTTGTCCATCACGGACGAATTTTGCGCGCCCATTTATAACCCTGAATAGAAAGAGGCACTGAGGCTAAGATAACGGAAACATGGTCCGGGTTCGAGCCTAGTTTTCTCGATCGTGAGTCCAGCACATGAAAACACTATGCTATCGGACAATGTCTTTCCACTGATTATGAGAAACGTCTATTTATGTTTTCCTCAATTTTAACGCAACAAATTAGTTTCTTTTGGATCTAATTAAGTGTCTCTCATATTTATTTCACCAGTCCCCACAGAGGCGGGGCGTGGTCATCACGTGGCTGCTGGCTAGCATACAATAACCACACCCACTCAATTTGTCAATGTAGTCATCTGTCAAACTTTGCCGTTTTAATGGATCTCTCATCGGACGAGGTGAGTTTACTTTTCGTCGTCGCGTTTCCGTTGTATAATCCTTGCGTAATTATAGTTCTGGACAGTGTATGTGGCAGTGATTGTACATAATTGAGTTCTCCTGCTCATAAGACGTCTGAGGTCGAGGCTGTCCCAAGAGAGAGAATACTTTCCTTTTCTAACAATTTCAGGTCTCACAAAAGGAGCAGAAGAGAGAGAGGACAATGGCTTTGATGTGGATTGGTATTCCTGTGCTTATCGTGGGAGTGATTGGTGGCCTGTACATGTCCTTTAGCTGGTGAGGTTCCTCATTAACCCTTGACCTTTGATACTCCATCTTAATTAATCCTCTACACCCCAACATCAATATTCATATTCCCCACTCTGTTATATTTACATTTGCCTTGCATTTAACATGAACAATTTATTTGACAATCAATAGCTTTTTAAATTGGAGATAATTTTCCTTTTACTTATGACCTTAAAATTTGAATCAAGGGTGACACTATGGGGAGAAATTAGTACCCAGTGACTCTCACGGGTAAAAGGGTTATGAGAATAATTTGTCTAAAATTATATGGTTAACACTTGTCTCTCTATCTCTCCCTCTTCTCAATTAAACTTAGGAATCGAAAATCAGGAATGTCCAGCAGTGTAACGAGGCCTCCCGTGGCACGTGAGTTTATAACTTTCTTTATAACATAGCTAGTAAATTTGTCTAATCAAATTCAATTGCGCGAGCGTGCTTCATATTCCTATTTTGCATGCTCATGACGTCAGCAAACGAGTCCGTCGAGAAAAAAATTTCCATTGGGTTGAAAATGTTATAAAACGATTGGTTCATACGTCAGCTGTGCGTTCATCGAGATATGAAGCACTTGGGGAGTTTGGAGAGCACTCAAGAAGCTAGAGTTGCTCTCGGCTATGCCTCGAGCGGCTCTTACGCGTCTTTCGTGCTCTCCAAACCTCCAAACCAAACCAAGAATGCCTCTCTTGGTGCGATCGTACATAATCGTGGTAAAAAGTAATGTCTTTGAGACAAGTTTCCTCTTTAGCATACTGAGTACTTATTTGGGGAGGGTCGGACGCGAAAATATTTGGCTGAAAATGTTATGATGACGGAACGCTATGAAACTTTATCATATTCGTAGGTTCGGCCCGATTGGTCAATAAGCACTTAATCATATGGCCACTGCCTTTTCCCTTTCTCGCTATCTTCCTCCTGATTTTACATTTCGCAAGGCCATAAACAGGGCTGTGCGGCTTTATCCAACCTTGCACTCGCCAAACATCACGGCTTTCGTACGCAAGATTTCCCAATGTTTTTAAATCTAAGTGCACGTGGAACTGGACTGGTCATAGGATACATGTCTTAGATGTTATTCATTTTCAGAATTAAACTTTGTTGTTTAAAATAGCACCTGATGATCTATACCCCTAATTTTACGAACTACGCGGCTGAGTGATATTGACTTATGATTTCTTGAGTAGTTTAACGTAAGGTAGTTTTCATTTCTGCCACTCTTTTGAAGAAGTTTCTGTTAAAACCATATCCGACTCTCTCTGACCATCTAACCATTTAACCATTTATTCTTTTTATTAATTCTTTCAGTGAACGAAAAAACCGGTTTGCTTGGACAGAGAGTGGTTACAAGTCAAGTGCGAGAAGAGTTCCCGCCATCACCCACACGTGACCTTTATCGCGCATTGTCTCCTGGGTACTCACCGACTGGTGATCTTGAATGGCAAGACGAGTTCGATTTTGAGATGGAGCCTGGTGACCAGGGATTCAAACAAATGCTTCTGCCCAAGTTACAGATGTTGCAGAATCATCTGATCAATGAATTCTATGACAGCGAGAAGATGGAGACGAAAAGGAAAAAACTTTTGGAGACCACGGTAAGTTTGCCGAAGTTCCAAAGTTAGCAAGCGTTTTTTTCCAATGTTTGGTTCCTGAGGGGTTGAGGGGGAGGGGATAGACTATTTGATTCCAGAGGGGGTGGAACAGATGATACAACATCTCACAAAATTCTCACAAATTCTTGTGCAGATCAAACAAAAGCCCCAGATTACAATTATCAGTCCAGTACAACCGCCTTCAGATCAGTCAAATCACAGCCAAAATGCGAAGTCACAGAGCATGGCTATCGGCCCAGTACAATGCGAACGGACACCCACCAGACAGACGGTAACAATACTTGCACTTCTTACTTTTTTCTGCTTTCCTTTGGGCGCTTGAGTTTTCTATGTTCCTCTTTCTTTTGCAATAAACCTAGTTATTTTTCTTTCCAAGTTATTATTCAATTTTTCGGGTTTGCATTCTCTCTCTGTTGAGAATTCACCACTGAGGCTGACAGTCACTATAACACAGTGTTGCTGATTTTCACTTAGATTCCACCAAAATCTCAGATTACGACTGACCAGGTGAGGAGGTCACAGACTTTCAAGACAACCCGCAGACAATCGGTAAGACGTTTGAAATTTAATTCGGATCTCCCTGGTTGAGTAACAAACCTTTAAACGAACTTAAAAAGCCATAGATTTGTGCTCAAAAATTCTCGTTCCTGATTGGTCGATGCATGGATAGATTATGGATGGCAAGAGCGGATTTCTGTAATGCACTTCTTCGAAATTGAAGCTGAAGCTGAAGCACCATGTTACTTAAAAAAAAACTTTGAAAATCTTCATGTTCGATTTGTGTGTTACAGCTATCGTCATAAATTTAACGTGGGAGCTTTTCTAAAGTGCTGAAAACTATTTTGTTGAGTAACGTGCAGCGACGTCCTACAAATTCCCTTTGGCTAGTGATTTTGTTCTTAATAAAATGCATAGATGACAGCTTGAACTCCTTGTGATTTCGTGCTTTAAGCCATGTTTTGAAATATTTTCAAATTGCACTCGTCCAGTTCCAAAGCTTTCAAAAGATCACTCGTGCCGATAAAATGAGCTGGAACTCATGCAATTTCCAATACTTACTCAAAAATGCTTTTAAATTTTGAATTAATAGTTTTGAGATAATAGTACAGTAAATGTCGTAGTGTGGATGTAATCGTTGGGAAAAATCGTATCTAGAAAACTGATTTACCCAACCAATTAATCTATGATTATAATTGATATTTATCTTTTAGACCAATCATATCTAATCTAGAGTCTAACCTCATTCACCACTATTCCATATTCCAGTTTTTACGCCTTTACAAAATCTAAATTATCAAGACTTTTTCTTTGTTTTAGGAGCATCCCGCTAGAAAACTTCGAGTAAGATTTGCGGATGAAAGTCCACCAGGACGAAATCTCACTGATGAAGATAAAGAGCGTTTTAAAAGGCTTCAAAAAATGGAAAGAAGGTGAGTTTCACAGAGACATGTCGTAGACGTTAAAAGTTATGTTTTGATGCTGAATGATACTGTTACCTTTAGTTCAGTGAAGCAGAAATGAACTCGGCAGGCGTTTAGTAAATTGAGAGTGGTGTTTGGCTTACCATTGAGGTCTATTTATCGCAATATATCTGTAATAGATCGCAGATGACGTAAAAAAAAGGAGAGAACAAACATGTGGCGCACAAGGCGCGCCTCAGAACTAGAATATCAGTTAATTGCAGTTAAAACCCCCTCACTTACGTCCAGAAATGCATGCAGTAACGAAAATGGTGAAAATGCGTCAAAACCGTCAATTCCGCCGAGCTGATTTCGCTTTGACGATCTTGACTAAAATTCCCCAAAATCGTCAAATCCATGAACATTCACTCCGTTTGACGAAATTTCGTCATTTCTGCCATTTTCGCGACTGCGTGCATTTCTGGACATAAGTGAGAAGGCTTTAACTGCAATTAAATGATATTCTAGTTATGAGGCGCTTAGCGTGCCATATTTATGTTCATACCACATTTTGACATCAGGCGTGATCTGTTACGGAGCAGACGCACGCCAACATGGAATCAACTGTTTATTTAAAAATTGTAGCTATGGGATCAGTAAGCGTTGATATGGGAACATCTTTTAATTCTCTCTCTCCCTTCATTTTTCTCTTCCTGCCAGAGTCTTCGCGCAGCATATCAGTAGATGGACAGCCAGTAGCCATCTCAACTTGTCAGAGTAGATTTTTTTAAAATAACGTTTGTAACTACATTTATAGATCGCATACTTAGTTATCGATGGCAAACATTTCCATTACGTTGTTTTATACCCGCTCACTCATTCACAGTCCTTAAGAGCGTTCTTATAGAAGATAGCAATTTCAAGTTGATTATTTCCATATTGATTTCACAAGTCGTTTGAAAAGAGGAACTTTGGTGTCACGTGGCAGTGTATAGGTTTCAATAACATCCGTCCTCATACCGCGGTCTGTTTGGCGTGCGAGCAAGCTCTCGTATTTGCGTTTTGCTTTATGGCACAGCCGGCTATTTCGTCCTCCGCAGCTGCCTAAAGAAACGTAATGAACCTTCTCTACGCAGCTAACCAAATTTATTGAAAAAAACGTTGTTTGCAATCTAAAAGAATGAAGATCGTATGGAATTGGCTTAGTATGATAACATGACAACAACCCACATGGTTACGATACGTGTAAAATACATATACTATACTTTTGATACATTGAAAGGAATATGCAAATTGCCAATGAAATGCAACTCCCTCCAGTCTCTTGGAAGACTTGTGTAAAGGATGAGAATATTTATATATTTTCCAAGAAATAACAGATAGGAGTGGTGTGATTTATGACTAAAAATATTTTTGTACATTCCATTTTTTACAGATTGTGTTAGGATGTTATTAAACATATCAAAACGGGTTCGACTATTGGCTGTTTTGTTTTATTATTTTTCCATACATTGTCGGTGAAGTTCTTGCCTTTTTTTAGGGCCGGTCTCAATGGGGCGATGGCTTAACGGCTAACGGTCCTGAATTTTGACCATTCAGTAGCTAACGGCTAATTTCTTTCCATTATGGTAAAAGGCAAAAGTTTCACATTTAACTTTTGCCGTACGGCTGCGATAAACGTGAGCTGATAGAGTCCAAGGTAATTTAATTTGTTAGGGATGCGAGCTCATCCCCAACACTACCACGAGCATTTTGTCCTGACTGAAAACGTTGTCATTTCTATACGCTTAAACCGGGCTTATACGACCAGCCATTCTCCCATTTCCGTCTCTGTCTGTCTGTTTATCTATTTGTCCGTCTGTGTGTCTGTCTGTTTTCAGTCTGTCTTGTTCTTCTTCTTCACCATTATTCTTCTATGTTGCATTTTGATCCATTTTCTTCTTTTGATGTTCTTATCCGTTTCAAAACTAATTTCCTAAGGTTTCAACCCATTTTAAGGTAATTTTGCAAATCCAGTGATAAAGGGGTGACATAAATTGTCTGAACTGGCTGTAACATCGAGTCGTTCACTCTACGCCAGACAACGCTGATATTACGTTTGGCGCTTCAAAATTACTATGCAAACGTAACCCAGGATTTTCAAAGTTTCCGCCAAAGTTACTCAAACCTTACAGATGTGGTGGCCTTTGGACCTGAATGAAAATCCTCGCAGAAATTAGATCTGTAAAGAATTCGGAAAAAGATTGGCCAGGAATCAGTTGACTGGTTGATCATTAAGAAAATAATTTTCGTCGCACGAGAAGCAAGACCTAAAGCATCGGGTTTCTGCCTATTTCTTCACTTTTTACAGCAATAGATGCGTCTTGGACAATTAACAAGCCTGCAAGCTTTTAGCTCCTGAATTAAGTTAAACGAATTGTACGTCCCTGAAGACTTTGACGTCCTTTGAAAGGTCTAGAAACGGATACTGCTTATGGCAACCATTACAGCATGTTTTTATCCATGTTAATTTTGAAAATTAAAGGAAATGAAACAGAACGGCTCTGCGGGATGTATTTTCTAGTGTATATTAATGACGTCTGTGTATCATGGAGGAAGAAGCCCAAAATTTAGACTTTACAAATTTCAACTAAAAAACTTTCACCAGAAAATATTTTGAGGGCTCTTTGAAGCATTTACGTTTCTCGTCGAGATTTTCACTATTTTGAAATCCTAGTTATTTATAATATTCTCTGAACAAAAAAGATTAAATACAAATTCAAACCAACGTGTGGAGCAGTGGGCAATGTATATGGAACAAGGGAACCACAATGCAAATCCCAGAAAATGGATTCACTGAATCAATTTTTCCCAAAGCTCCCTCTGATTCTTCGTATATTCCTGTCAATATAACAAAACTTATCCACCATCAAAAGAATGCTCTTTTTTAGGTTCATCAAATTCTGATAATCTTACCTATTACAAAAAGTATCATCAGTATGCAAATCAAAATCAATCTTTCGGTGCCTTCAAAGACAGACGGTTTATTTACTTTTGGCGAAATGCACTTTGTCAACTTTCTATTTTAGAATTCGGCTGCTTCTTTGTTTGGTTTCTAAAACTGACTCTATTTGATCAATGCCACCTTTTAAAAGCATTTTTAAAAAGTAATGTGTGATACTGCCAAGTCCCCCCTTACAATGAGTGGTTCCGGTAAAAACTTCTTCATTATAATCTTTTTTCACGTTCTAATGGATTGGGTTTAAGTATCATGCGCTCATTTGAAAAATCGTGCTTTCATTTATACTAAGAAAGCTATTAAGTACCTGGCCTTAAACGTTTGAAGCTATGACTTTCAGTTCTAAACATAAATGAAATATCTTGTTACCCACACATTTGAGAAGAACCTTTTACTAAAAGTACACCAAGGTAGGTAATAGTCTAACTGAGCGTGAAATTTATCGGCAAAGGAAAAAAAAAGATGTGAGATGTATACAACTGTTATGGATACAGGTCAAAAAGCGAATAATACTGCAATAGAGGTTTCTGGGTCGTATCAGTTATTTGCTTTGCTGTGCCAAGGGAAGAAATGCTGTTTTGTCGCTTTAAATGCAAATTCCCTACTTTCCCCCGGCTTTCGCATCTGCCTCTTAGACTTCTCAGTGGGCGGCCAGGTCCAAGCGAAATGAGGAAGTAACTCAGATATCATTTCAATTACAAAGTGTAATAGTTCCCTCCATAGTTAAGTTTAGTTCGTTTAAATTGATAGTTGGCGACAGAGACCTGTAGACTGAACGAAATGAAATTGGTATGCTTTAATAATTGATCACGTACAAGCTTGAAAACCCGCAAAGAAACTAAGTTAGTTTTTTAGAGGTGTTGCCATACTCCAGGTGACTGCACAAGGACAGCTAGTATTGAAATTCATAATATTCTTAAAAGCAACACTCATCATTTCCAGCATAAACTCCTCGTCGTCTCTTGAATTTGAAAAGAAAATTGCTTTTAACCGCGTGCATGGGCCAAGTTTGGAAGTGGCCAAAGACTGGTAAGTGTCATTTGAAAGCCTGAAAACGTCTGAGGCTTTTTTTTTTTTTTGGTTAACATTATTCTGCCTGCGTGTAAAGCGTTGTGAAAGAATCGTTTAAGGTTTTCATAATACTTTAAAAAGGGATGAATAAAGAAAAATTGTTCACAAGAACCCTTCAAATGCTCAATTTTTAAAAGCTTTCAACCTTTCTTCATATTTAAATTTGTCCCTGATTGCGTCAAGCAACCAAGAAAAGAAAATTCTTTTCTACGCTCTAGTATTAAACGGGCGAGTTTCCTCACTCGATGTTTGCGTAAAAAGACGCGTACTTATGGAGACCAAATCTTTTAATTTTCATTTTCTTGCAATAGTGAACTCTATAAAAGGCAAAAATTCCCTTCGTTTACAGTTCTTGATAATCACTTCGCTTGGCTTTTTGGATTCACTTAGCACTGTTTTATAAAGATGTCAATTCACTAAAATTTCGATCAACCTAGAATTCAGGAAAGCAAACAAGTTTTATTTAATATATGCAAATGTTAGATGAAGAGAGACCAGAATATTGTATCCGCGTGGGATGCAGGACATTTGTAATATTCAACACGAAGCACCTAATGACAGGAAAGATATATTTTGCTTTTTAAGTCTAACATTTTCTTTTCATAATTTTGAGGCGCATTTTGTTTTTCTTCTAGAGGAAATTACGAGAGAGAAAATTCAGAATTCGATATATTGCTTATTTATTTCGTGTTTTAACTTGCTAATAAAAAAAAAAAAACGAGTTCAAGATAAGAAAAATCCTCAGGGATAAAGCTCCTTTCTTGAATTTCACCAGAAACGTTTTTCAGTGATGAATTCGTACATCAGAAGCTGCGAAGTAGCGTATCTTCAATAAAGATTTTTCCACTCGATTGTTTCGTAAGCCTGAGTTTATCACGAAAAAAAACCCTCTCTTGTTTAGGCTAACCGCATGAATTTTCCTCTACTATTTTAAACCTTTCACTTCCAAGACCTCAATTATTATTTCTCCTCACAGCCTGCCAAACAATTCTTATGATGTTAGTTCAGAGATATTTTGGATCATCTAATGATTCCCAAATTGATATATTTCTTTATTCCCATCACTTGTCTGCCTGATGTTGTAATGAAAATGCGAAGAGAAATTCTGTGTTGGTCACTGATGGGAAGAGTAGGTAAACGAATTTTTTTACTCCTAAACGACGCTGTTTATTTTAATGTATATGATAAGAATACTACAGTGCAGATGTAACATTTTACAATTAAATCTTAAAATTTTATCGAAGAAACATCTCCCGACATATTTCTTATTGAAAGAAAAATATTGCATATATCTTTTTCTTTACTTTTGAATTAGTTTTAATACTTAATTCAAATCCATGATACTTCTGAAGCTTTTAAACTTACGACTTGGGGTTTTCATTATGACTTGGGTGTTTTCTTAATCAAAATGGTGCTTCGAAACCAGTTGTTTAGAAACGTTTTTAAGCAATAAGAAAAGAAAAATACTAAACATCTTAATTTTGAAAAGTGAATTAAGGCTAGTTCTAGAGCAAGTTATGTACGAGTTTTGTAATTCATAACACTTAGGACTTACGACAGTTACTTTTAGGTAGACAAAATAGTATCACAAAACACGTTTTGAATTCTCGATTTTTCTCATAGGGATAAATGTATATTTACTGGTGCAATGATCATGAACACTCGAGAAAAAAATCTAGCACAACTTTATTTGACAAACTAATAGCTCCGTTTCGAGAACTTGTTTGAAGTAGAGCAGGCTGTTTTCGTGTTAATTGCGGGGCGTTTGAAAAATACAAACGCTTGGTGAAGAAAAGGTCACGAGCGCTCATATTAAGGAAAAACACTTAATTGAAAACCGAATTGCTGTATTGCTTCCTGTAAACTAAAATCATAGCAGAGAATTGTTTTTTCTTTGCTTAATTTTTTTTCAGCTTCCAAAATATAGTTCCAAATAATACAGGTACTTCCTATCATAACATATTTCTCTGCTCGCCACAGAGGAAATTTGATTTTGGTGTACATGCTGTCACCTAGTAAGAAAGACCAGTTCGGGATTATGCTCTCCATATCTTAACTATCCATTGTCGAAATTTAAAAGAAGATCTTACAATATAAAAGAGGAGCCTTGTTGTGAAGAAAAATCATCAGATTTTGGCTGTTGAGGATTGCGTGCGATACCACTTGATGAAATAAAACACTTCCCATTAGAACTGAAGGATTAGCGATTGGCGTGACATAAGACAGCAATAAATCGCCTAGATTGTGTGTCTTGATGCGAGAGGAGAAATTGATTAACAATTTAATCAAAGTGGGTCGATAAATACTATGGTGCAGG